CGGAATTAATCCGTATGGGAACGGAGTCCATAGGTTGAAAAGTACGGAAGTCGAAAATGCATTCCCCATAGGAATGCATTGAAAACCATTTAATCCATAACTCACCCAAACCCCCCACAAACACATAGAAAATTAAAATAAAAATTTGAAAATAAAAACGTACCTTTCTGAAGTCTTCCAGGGGTCCCCCGCCGCCGCCATCGCCACTGCTGGAGGACTCTGAGGGCTTGGATGCAGCTGCCGGAAGCCTCTCGGAGCTCCCCCATCGCCGCCATTGCCATTGCAGAAGGACTCCGAGGGCTTCGGCATGGCTGCCGGAGGCCTCTTGGAGCCACCACCACCACCAACGCAGGCTTTCCCAGGCTGGACGGGCCTACCAGGGGAGGGCTTCCCCCGGTAGGCCCGGTCTACCAAGCTTTCCCGGGCAGTAGACAGGGCCTACTAGGGGTAGGGTTGCCAGACGTCCAGCAAAAGGAGGACATCTCCTACTTTTGAGGAGCATGTCCTCTATCCGTCAGGCAAAACTAAAAAACTTCAAAATGTCCGTCTCTTGTATCTCCACCCCCTCCCCCTGCAACCGAACCTCTCCCTGTTACTTCCTTGGTTGAGGCACTTGTAAATCCTCTGGTTTCAGAGATCGGAGGTTGATAAGGTGGCTTGATTGTTTAGGGCTGCTCCAGCCCCGGGCAATCAATGCCCGGCTTGTGGGTGGCTACTTCTGCCTGGGAGCTGAATAAGGCAGGAAGGAGCGAGAGAGATGGATGGATAGAGACGGACAGGAGTGAGGTGAGTGTGCACTGGCTTGCTTGCTGGAGGGGAGGCTGTTCTGGGGTTTGGAGGGGGTGTCAGTTCAAAGCCAGGAAAATAGGGGTTGGGCTGGTCCCTCCTTCCTCCTCAAACTGGGGAACAAGAGGAACTTTTATATATCAGCTTGAGAAATTGCAAACGGTGGAGAAAATGGCTTTGTGTGTGTTTTGTGTGTCTGCAAATCTATTTTCTCCACCATTTGCATTTCTCAAGCTGAGAGAAATCCACACCTTCTGTTTTTTTCCTGGTTTTTATAAAGTGTTTCAAATCTGTCACACAACTTTTTAAACTTTTTATTTCACTTTATTATGCTTTTATTAAAATTAAAAAAAATCAGTAAAACAAAGAGGATGGTTCTCCATTAAAGGAAGGAATAGATTGTCTCTATTGGTACTGGGAGCCCAGGAAGTATATATGTTGATTTGTTTTGTTTTTATTTTGTAAACATTTTTTAAAACAATAAAACACAGTGGCCAGTGGATTCTGAGTTTTGTAGTCCAAAAATTGTAACTTTCCCAGTCTTGACCTTTCAATACTGAGTAGGTCGAATGGTTATGGTATTGCCCAATGATCAAAGAGCTATTCTCCCCAATACCTAATTCCAAAAGTGACCCCAGATTGTGCACAGAGGCCCCCCCCATATGTCCTCCTTTGTCCTCCTTTTTGGCGTTCTTCGTCCTCTTTTTCATACACATGTATCTGGCAACCCTAACCAGGGGAAGCCCTGCTCCGGTAGGCCCGGTCCACCCTGGGAAAGCCTGTGTCGGCGGGGGGAACCTCCGGATGCCTTCCAGGGCTGCGCCGCCACCATGGAAGGCATCTCGGAGGCCCCACCACCACCGATAGTGCTTCGGAGCCACTATCGGGGGCAGCGGGGACCTCCGGATGCCTTCCAGGGCTGCGCCGCCACCATGGAAGGCATCTCGGAGGCCCCACCACCACCGATAGTGCTTCGGAGCCACTATCGGGGGCAGCGGGGACCTCCGGATGCCTTCCAGGGCTGCGCCGCCACCATGGAAGGCATCTCGGAGGCCCCACCACCACCGATAGTGCTTCGGAGCCACTATCGGGGGCAGCGGGGACCTCCGGATGCCTTCCAGGGCTGCGCCGCCACCATGGAAGGCATCTCGGAGGCCCCACCACCACCGATAGTGCTTCGGAGCCACTATCGGGGGCAGCGGGGACCTCCGGATGCCTTCCAGGGCTGCGCCGCCACCATGGAAGGCATCTCGGAGGCCCCACCACCACCGATAGTGCTTCGGAGCCACTATCGGGGGCAGCGGGGACCTCCGGATGCCTTCCAGAGAAGCCTTGGAAGGCATCCCAAGACACAACCTACGACCTAGAGACTGGAAGGGGGAGGCGGAGAAAGGGAAAGCCTTTCCCCACCTCCCCCTTCTGGTCCGTAGGTCAATTCTCCGGCCGCAAGTAGAAGTAAAACTTTGCAGCCGGAGAATTCCGTAGGTCGAAAAGTATGTAAGTGGAGCCGACTGTAAGTCAAAACTCCACTGTATGTGAGATATTGAAGGATGGTTTTCTTAGTGCCATCCCCCAGTGAATTTCCAAGGCTAAATGGGTATCTGAACCAATACCCAAGTCCTGGTCTGTCTCTCCACTATCCCTTGCTGGCTTCCTATTCATTCAGGTATGCACCATGTAATAAGCTTGTTTGAACTTGGGAACCCCATAAATAAGCTGTTCTATGTTCCTATAGATCCCATATAACATTACAGTGGTGCCTCGCATAACGGGCGCCCCGTTTAACAACGAATCCACATAGCGACGATGTTTTTGCGATCGATTTTGCGATCACATAACGATGTTTTCTATGGGGGGAAATCGCTTTGCGATGATCGGTAAGCTATTTCGCTTACCGATTATCGCATAACGATGTTTTTCCCCAGCTGATCAGCGGTTCCAAAATGGCCGCCGGGTAAAACAGGGATGGATTCCTCACTTACCGGGCGCCCAAAATGGCCGCCGTATGGAGGATTTTTGCTTAAAAGGTAAGTTTGAAGCCCATAGGAACGCATTGAAGGGGTTTCAAAGCATTCCTATGGACTTTTTTAATCCGCATTGCTGCACGGATTATCATTGCTATGTGGGGCACCACTGTATATTTAAAGTCATTGTTAAGCAGAATTTCAACAAAAAGGAAGAAAGTTTGAAACTCAACAAAACTTGGCTCCCAGCACTGAAAAATACAGCATGCAAAAGGTCAAATAACTCTACCCAGCCACAAAGACCAGTGATCACTACACACAAAAGACCAGCTAACGACACCCATCAACCACAGTGACAGATAATCTGTCCTCTTTATCACAACAATACACCCGCAACAAAAACACACTGATCACCATAATCACCCATCTCCTAAAAAGGACAAAAGCTGATCTCACAGCTATAAAAACTCAACTCCCAAACAAACTGCACCAGAGCACAGAATGCTGTCCTCTGAGGATGCGGGCCACAAAGACTGGCGAAATGTTAGGAAGGACAACTTTCAGAACACGGCCCAAGAGCCTAAAACCCCACAAAAATCATTGTTAACTTGCTTGCAGGGTTTTGGCATTTCTTACAGTTAGGCTGGAAAACGAAAGTGGGCTGTCTGGGTAATATTTTCTTCCCATCCATTGCTGTCATTCATTTTTAATAGGCTCTAGGGAGATTCTAACCTAGAAAACCAAAAGAGATGTTTTTAGAAGATTCTTCCTATACTTGAGAGACTGATCTTTGTTCTATGCAGAAAAGGGCTATGCTGTGGCACCCCCTGCTGATGCCTCATAACCACCGAGGATTAGAAAGATTAGACATAAGTAAATGCCATGTGTACTCCTGGCATGTGGTTGAAGAAATTTTCCAGTGAGGGTGTACACATGTGAGAAGCAAGGTATTAATAAGGCAAGATCTTTTCAGAAAGCCTTGTTGACATCTCAGATCTTGAATGTTACAGCTGTCCCCCAAGCACTTCATTCTCTGAAATATACTAGTTGTTTTTCTTTTATAAATTAGTACAGTTGTGTAATAGTGGGGGGGGGGAGTTTCAGCACTTCTTATTTCAAAATCCAGAATAGCCAATTACAGAAGCTTCTCATGTTAATTCTTTGAAATCCATTTCTATATTTTATAGTCATCTGTTAGAACAATTAGGACTGTATCCTTACAATAGCCCAAATTCCTATTTGAGTTGCATGCCCAAGAGTTACAGAAGCTGCTGTGGCCAATTGATTTTGCAACCAACATGCAGCCAGCATACCACATTAAGTTGTCCTGTGTCTATGTAAGTAACTAGTAGGATTTGGATCACGGATGGACTATGCGGGATTCATTTTCCAAATATGAAAGAATAAGATCAGGCTCCAAGTCACAAGCAGACAAGCTAGGCCCTTACTTAAAGACTGTGTATGTGCACCTATGGAGGTATAGGTTACCTTGTGTGTTGTAGTGTACAGAGAGGACTAAGGAAACTTAGGATCAAAACCTCACCCAGCCATGGAAAAGGGGTGAAACTGACAAAATCACTCCATAAGTATCTCACTTACTTTGAAAGCCCTGTCAAGATCTCCATATGTCAGTTCTGATTTGACAGCACATAACATCCTTATAGCTATCAGCTACCTTTTGAGTAAAACTGTCCCAAGGAAGCTTTCGTCTATACATTAAAATGCACTATGTCCATAAAAATATTGGTCCTCTCAAGCGCCCTGACCTGTTGCTTCTAAAACTAGCAACTGTAATTGTTTTTCCAAACCAATAAGCTAAAAAGCTGAACTGTCACTCCTGGAAATCCCCCTGATTTGTCTTTTAAACAGGTTTCAAGAGCCCCTGCAGTATTTAATTCCCCAGTTTTTCAGAACTGACGGTAGACTTCCTGTCACTTCCAGTTTTATTTTGTTTTGTTTTCCCATATTTTGTCCATCCAAGAAACACTCTTAATTTCTGTAGTCTGTTATTCTAAGTTGCACCACACAGGGGAAAAAAAAGATTGATTTGTATAGCCAGAAGTATAATAAAATAAACAGTTTAAATTCAAACTGGGGAATTGTACAGAAAGTGAGGTGGAATTTTTAAAATAAATCCTAAGAGAGAGCAGAAATTCAGGAAAAACTCTTAAACAAATGTGTCTTCTGTGAATAACTGGAGGATTTGCTATGCTGATTCATGTGATCCTGACACACATACCTTTCTTTTAGGTGACATACAGATTGGAATGGTGGACAAAAAAGGCCAATTAGAAGTGGAAGTCATTAGAGCCCGAGGTCTAACACAAAAGCCGGGGTCCAAATCTACCCCAGGTAAGCAGGGTTTACGTGGGGAGCACTTGATCTTAAAATGTTCAATTCAGTTCTCAATATTTGTTGTAGGATAGTGTTTGATGGTAATATTGCTCATTGATCTAACCCAAAGGGAGTAAAGTGCAACCCACAAATTGCATGTGACACACTGGGGCTCTTTTGGGACTCTCAAGTAATCTGAGAGCTTGTTCATTAAAAACCCATTTAAAAGGCTTTGGTTGAGAAACTTTTATTTCTGCTCTTGAGGGCCTCAATGAGCATTGAAAATAGTGTAGGTACTTCCTGTTTTCCTTAAAAAGGTACTTCCTGTTTTCCTTAAAATTCCTCAGACAGCCACTACAGGGCCTGATGCAGCCCACTGGAGGGTGACTGAGCAAAAATTTGACCCCCAAGTATACTGAGTTGCCTATCCAGTTTTACCTTTCCTTTTTGGCCTAACAGTATGACACAAAGAACACCACACAACTGTAATGCCCACGTTCTGTTCTGGAATGCAAGGACCTTCCATGCTTAAAGCATACATTGCTTGCAGGAGTCAGATGTCCTCAGTCTATCCAGTCTCCTAAAAACTTCCAAGAAGAATTGAAGCAGTGGCAATAAGGAGCTTTAGAGGGGCAAGGGGGGACCGGATCATTCTTATTATCCCATTCTCCTAATGTAAAGATTCCCGAGATTGTTAGAAACAGTGTGTTACTGAGTAATGTTATATATACTAGAGTGGCATGTCACAGAAATTTGAATGAATTCTTTGGGGTTTAACAGAGATGTATCAAAATATATTCAATATCCACAATTGCCTTCTGAAGCTGGCACTGCAGCTTTATGTATATATTATTTATTTATTTGGCTTCTATAGCACCCATCTGGCTACCAGGCCACTCTGGGCGATTTACATATTAAATTTATTTATATTTTCAACTGCTTAGTTTTGTAGCCAAAACATTAAGTAGGCTATACAGTAAATTCAACAAAGATTACCGGTTAATGCAAATTGTACTGAAAGACAGCAATTTTAGGCTTTGATGTATATCAAACTGATAATAAAATACATTCCAAAGGGTAATGTCAAATTAGGGGGGAAATGCCACTGCAGTGGAAATCTTTTAAAATTGCATTGTACAAAAACAAAAAATGAAGGCAAACAAATGAGAGAGATGTGGAAGCCTGTGACAAGAAATATGTTTATATGTTTAGCTATGGTGTACAAGAAATATGTTTAGCTATGGCGTACATTTCCAGGTACATTCCCACATTGTACAAAAACAAAAAATGAACGCAAACAAATGAGAGAGATGTGGAAGCCTGAGCAAATACATTCTTCAGTGATTGAGTATTTCTTTAGGCAAGTCAATAAGTTCTAATTCCTAGCTAGGGGCACAAAAACTCATAAGCAGAGTCACTCGTATTATGAAAATTACTATTTTCAGAACACGTACGGAGGGGGGGGAACCATAATTTTCCAGCAGCGTTATTTTGTGCTGAAACAATGAAAACTTATAAGACCAACCTCTCTTAAGCATTCGATTATCCTGTTCCATAAATAGTCACCATCAATCAATTTTTCTAAATGAATGTATATTTCAAACAGTCAGCTGTGGTCAACTTATTCCGAAGTTCTTTCAGGGTTTTGGAAGAAATACATGGATTATGAAAGACGTTTTGCTATACATTCTCAAAAGACTACAGTACTTGTATAATTCCCTTATCATGCATTTAATATAACAGGAACACAAGTGAAACTTTCTGCACATTGAGGCAACCTTACAATTCAAAATAAGTAGGAAAGAAGAGGATTTATATTCCAAAGGAGTTTGTTTCCTCTTCACTTCCCCCTCCACTTACTTTATTCTCTTCAGTATTTGATGTCGAGGTGGTTTGTTTTTTAATTACTATGTAATTTTTCTTCCTCTTTTTTTCTTTATGCTTCTATTGTCCTTGTATAAATGTTCTAAAGGTAAGGTAGTCAATAATTTAAGACTTGCATTTTAACAACATTTATGTATATATCACAGCTCCATATGTCAAAGTATATATGTTGGAAAACGGGGCCTGTATAGCCAAGAAGAAGACAAGGATTGCCAGGAAGACCCTTGATCCTTTATACCAACAGACATTAGTATTCGAAGAAAGTCCTCATGGTAAAGTCCTTCAGGTCAGTAACTGTTTTATCAGGGTGTAGTCCCTTGATTGCCAATAAAGGGTATTAAACATGCTGAAGTTCAAGTATTCTGATATAGCTAAGGTTTAGTTTAGCTTTCAAGGTTTCATCTGTACCACAGCTGTGTAGGATGGCCTCTCAGTGTTGTGGAGCTAGTCCACCAAATTTCTCCAGGGGAAGAAGAAAATTGTTCAGAGGTGTGGTTTGCTCTTAGCAGTGATTGTAGCACAGCTTTTTTCTTTATTCTCTGAAATTTTGGGATTCTTTCCATTGCTGCTGCAAATAGCAACAATTCCAATTGTGTTAGCAACCTACCCATCATTTTACTTCCTTCCCAGAACCCCCTGCCCACTGTGAGAGTTGTGTTGAAGGCAACAGCTGTGGTGCCAGTCTCCCCCCCCCCCAAAAAAAATGATGGAGGAATTTGGCAAAGTGACCTTGGATTTCCAGAGGCTTAAAAAATTTAGACAGCTAAATCAAACTAGAGTGCTCTCACTGAATCAATGGGTGGGTGTGTTTATGAAAATACCATTTAATTCAGAGTGCATGTCTTGGCTGGGGCTAACAATTAGATTTAGTCCAAAACATTTCTCAGAAAAATATTTTCTGACAAATTTTAGCTCAGTGGGAGTCGTTATTCTTCAGGGTTCGGCATATGTCACCTTTTTAGAAGCCATTGCAGATATACATTATCTATCTATATTGCAGAACATAAACAACTCCTTTCTTGTAAGTCCTGTGGCAAAAGTGAGAGAGGGCAGGTTTGTGTGCCTCTTCAGGAAAAAGGGAGTTGGGTGCAATATTAGCAACCATTTCTTCCACTTTTAAGGATGCATTTACTCCCAAGATGCTCTGCTTGTATATTTCTGAATAAGATAATTATAAACAAATAAACAGTACTGTGGCCTAAATGTAGTTACTAGTCTCAAACAGAATAGAGACACTGAACTGCTCACTGATGAGTCATTGATTTGGTGGGTCTGCTGTAGCTGAGACAACCAAATGGGTTCTAATCCATAAGTTTCCACTGCCAATCCCATAGTACTATTCCTAGAACATCACACTGCATAGAATGGGACAGCCTATAAGAATACATTTGCTCAGCCTGTATTGACTCTGTTGTTTTCGCAGGTGATTGTCTGGGGAGACTATGGTCGAATGGATCACAAATGTTTCATGGGAGTTGCACAGATCTTGCTGGAAGAACTTGATTTGTCCAGCGTGGTAATAGGCTGGTATAAATTATTTCCACCCTCCTCCCTGGTGGATCCCACGTTGACTCCTCTAACTCGCAGGGCCTCCCAGTCATCACTGGAAAGTTCAACTGGGCCTCCCTGCATTCGATCTTAATGAACAAAACAGCAGGTGCTCTTTAACAAAATTGTTACCACCAAGGATCGGAGCTATTTGCAACAATGAGGAGCAATTTCAAAAAGAGACAATCATCACTTCAGTTTTGCCTGTAGTAGTTTATCCAAAAAAATATGTCTGAGTTGTTTGTTCCAAGGGTGGCTTAAATTGTCTGAACAAATCGGTGTATGAAAATACAGTCAGTCCATCAAGCAAAATGTTCCTGAAGCTTCTGATAATCAAAACGAGGAGGGAACTCTGAAAATTAAACTGGAACCGCTCGTTCTGTTCACAATGACCCCACCCTGGTTTTTTTCCCCCCAGTGACCACCAACAGTGTTAACCTTTTGGTGTTTCTCTGTGTGTTATTTCCATTTGTTTTTGCTGTGTTATCCTGCTAGTTTTGTCAAAAGTCATCATGATGCTAACAGAGACCCTTCCTTTCTTTTTCTAACTCAAACCAAAAAGGGCTGAAGTCTATCTCTGTAAGCATCTCCAAAAAGTGTTCACCTGCCAGAATTACTGTCTGATGCCAATAACAGACACATAGCTCCTCCATTCTGGTTGTCCATAACCTTAAAACATGTGGAAAACCAGAGTAAATTTGCAGTTCAGTTTAACTTTTTATTAGAGCTTATCATAACATCCATTGTAAAAAAAGTGAATACATATACATTATGCATTACATATCCCATTTTTAAGTTTTATTGAGATTTTGCATGGAGGAAACCTGCAGCTACAACTATTGCTGAAAACCTGATTTAAAAAAACACAACAGTTATGTTTTTCATTCTGACATTAGCAATTACGTCTGTAAAGCCATTGTCTTACCAGACTCATTGAGAAAAGTCTTTATGTTCATACATGTAAATGTATAGTTGACTTCCCAAATGTTGATCAGGAATGGAGTTGGGCATCTGAACTTTTAGCTATACCAAGGCTTCTCTGATACATGTGTCATTTTTGACACAGTTGTCTGTCCTGGTTAGAGCATGGTACAGGTTGTTCAGTTTTCCAGTGGAAGTTCCAGTTGAAATATTCTGCACTTACTAATGTTTTTATCAAATTTCAGTTTACATTTCTCTGAGACTGATGCAAGCACAAAGCTTGATTTTTAACAAAGGTAATATTACTTTTATGGGGCGTGGGGGGAGGTACAGTCAAACAATACTTGCATTTTGTTCATCTGGGTTCTTTCTTGGCCTTGAAATCCCTTGTGTTTTTCTGTAAATGTGCTGAAAACTGCAGAATGTGCAGGTGCATTGAGAAGTTCTCCTTCCTTTTATGGTGATCTCACAAAATAGAGCAGCATGACTTGGAACTGTTTCAAAGCTGCATGCACGTTTTTGTAAAAAAAAAAGAGAGAGAGAGAGAGAAATAAAAAGAAAAAAGATAAAAGATAAAAGAGAGGAAAAAAAGAAACAAACAAAAGAGATTATTTAATAATATATGTTAGTTCCACATAGGCCAGGTTGTATGTTGCATGTACTTGTACAGTTTGCTCGTAATTACTCTAATGAAGTAACCAAGAAATCTAAGCCATCCATTTTTTCTTATAGACATTTTGCAGGTTTTAGCCAGACTATCATTCAGTCTGGAGCTAAATGTCTATAGATGGACTTTATTTTTTACCCTATGGAAAACGTGATGTAGTACGGACCAAATTCCTTCTAATAAATATTTTGGTGTAGATTCCTACTGTTGGGCTGTAACACATGTAGAAACTGTGGACACAATTAAGTTTTCCTTCATAGACATAACTGCCTGCACCAAGTGAACTAATTATTATTATTATTATTATTATTATTATTATTATTATTATTATTATTATTATTATTATTATTATTATTATTATTATTATTATTATTATTATTATTATTATTATTATTATTATTATTATTATTATTATTATTATTATTATTATTATTATTATTATTATTATTATTATTATTATTATTATTATTATTATTATTATTATTATTATTATTATTATTATTATTATTATTATTATTATTATTATTATTATTATTATTATTATTATTATTATTATTATTATTATTATTATTATTATTATTATTATTATTATTATTATTATTATTATTATTATTATTATTATTATTATTTGATATTGCCAGAACGATCCTGCCCAAGTTTCCATAGGGCATAGATTGATTACTGCTCGACCTGCTGAGCAGGAAGCATTGGTGCACTACTAGATTCTGTTTTGTCTTCTAGTGGCCAAATAAACAAACAGACAAACAAACAAATGATAATTCGGTAGTACCTTTCTATTTTGACCATTTGTCTTAACATTTCCCTGTGCTTTTAAATGAACTTCCGACTCATGCTATGTAGACATGTTTAATAAACTTTCCTTTTCATGTTCAGCGTAGTTGTTTTGTGTTCAGCATGGGCGAGAGGTGGTCATATGGAGCCGAGTCCAGGCAACATCAAGTTGTGCTTCAAGACAAGCCATAGATCCACCAAGGGTTGGGAGAGTGGAGCAGTCATTGTGGACAACAGATTTGGGGTCTCATGATGGGGGCAGCAAATTGTTACTCATTGGATATGTGTTGCTTTTTTTTTTTAATTGCCAAGGATGAGGAGATGCATTTGCAAATTTTTTGCCTCCTGCACCAAAATAACATGGCTGGTCTGAGGCATTCTTCTCACCTAACTTTGCAGAAGTGATGGGCCTACAGGGTCCCAGTTGCCTCAGAGCACCTGAAACTCAACAGCAGTTCCTTGTGACTTTCCAGTTTTCTGGTGGCTCTGCAATGTTTAAAAGGTAAAGGTAAAGGTTCCCCTTGACAATTTTTTGTCCAGTCGTGTTCGACTCGAGGGGGCGGTGCTCATCCCCATTTCCAAGCCATAGAGCCAGCGTTTTGTCCGAGGACGATCTTCCATGGTCACATGGCCAGTGTGACTTAGACACGGAACGCGGTTACCTTCCCACCGAGGTGGTACCTATTTATTTACTCGCATTTGCATGCTTTCGAACCGCGAGGTTGGCGGGAGCTGGGACAAGCAACGGGCGCTCACTCCGTCACGTGGATTCGATCTTACGACTGCTTGGTCTTCTGACCCTGCAGTACAGGCTTCTGCGGTTTAGCCCACAGCGCCTTCACATCCCTGCAATGTTTATTTTCGCTTTATTTGAAGTTGTAAAATAAAGAAATAGTGTTCACAACTTTTATTTCCATCTAACAATACCTTTTTTTAACCATAAAGGTCTCAATTAGAGGAGGAAGTTTCAGTCGGACTGTTTTGTTCCATTCTAGTTTGTTTTTTCAAATAGTTATCTTAGTGTTTAAGGACTGTTCAGCAGTGGGTAACTTCCAGAGGTCCAAAGTCACTGCTAGACTTTGGAGGGTCTAGCCTGCCTTTCCATACACACCACATTTTTAAATTCATAATTATGAGGGGGTCACTTTTATCCCCTTTCTCTTTCTGAGGTTTTTACAGCCCAGGAGAGGTCTTTATCCAGAAAATAATTGGTTGGAAACTACTTCCTGTTTTGTGAAAAGGTTCTTCCAAGCTGAAAAAACTCATGGCATGGAGGCTTAGTAAAAGTGGCATAGAAATCATAGAAAAGTGAAGTTGTAAGGGGCTTACAAGGCCATCAAGTCCAACCCCCTGCTCAACGCAGGAATATAATCAAAGCATATCTGCCAGGTGATTATCCAAGTTTTTCTTGAATGCCTCCAGTGTTGGAGCACTCACCAACTCCCGAGGTCACTGGTTCCACTGTCGTACTGCTCTAACAATTAGGAAGTTTTTCCTGATATTCAACCAAAATCTGTCTTCCTTTAACTTAAGCCCATTGTTGTGTGCCCTGCACTCTGGGATAATCAAGAACAGATCTTGTCTCTCCTCTTTCTTTCTTTCTTTCTTTCTTTCTTTCTTTCTTTCTTTCTTTCTTTCTTTCTTTCTTTCTTTCTTTCTTTCTTTCTTTCTTTCTTTCTTTCTCTTTCTTCAAACCAAAATGAAAGCTAGAAAATTCACAGGCCTGTTCAGATAACATTAAGGGGCACATCATTTCTAAAGCATTGCATGGGTTTTAGCCACACATCTCCCACTGACTCTAATGGGATTTACATGGCTAGAAGTCTGTGTAGCACTTTGAAAATGTACCCCTAAGGGTCTGCCATGAATTCATAAAACCCTACAATTTCGAAGTTAATACCAAAACACAGTACTGGGTGGATTTTAGATGCTCATTAGTTAGCACTTTTCTAATTAAAACACAGCTTACTGAGCATTAGATCTTTTTTGGAGGGGGTTGTGGGGCTGGGCACATGTATGTGTAATCTAAAGAGCTGAGTTATTTACAACAGAAGAGTGGCTGCCAAGAACAAGCTAGCTAATTTTCATAACACTTTTATTACAGGTTGTGCATTAAGCCCGAGACAATGGGACTGAGGTTGCCACATTGCTTCCTCAGAGGCTCTGAATCTTTCTTTTAAAATCAGTATGCGGTTAATGGCAGTTACTTATTGATTATATATGATACTCATGGATGGATGTCTTTATTCTTTTTCATTTCAAGACTGTGGGAGGAAGTGGCAAGTCAGATATAGCAAATGCAGAGAATTCCTTTGGATTTCTTTGTTGATGAGACACTTTCACAACTTTCCGTTCTCTTCATAATAGTGAGAGAGGGAACCTAAAACATTTAAAATTTAACTGAGAAAAAGCAAATCTAACACATTCACCCATCCAGCTGGAGGTGTTTGGAGTGCTGATCTCATAAAAGCCTTACTCTGGATCCTTGTGCATTGAACAGTGTGTGTGGTGATGAATTTGACTGTCATTCCAGTCCAGTAGGACTATCAAACTGGTTCTGATTGGGAGCAGAGTAAAAAGCTCTCCCATTTTGCCATATTACCTAAGCCTGTCTACTGGACATAGAAGGGAATAAATCTGGGTCCTTTTCTGTGCAAAACATATTTACCACAAGCTTTGCAATGCTTTATTTATTTATTTAATTTATACCCCACTCATCTAGACTGAAGTCTACTCTGGGTGGCTAACAATAATAGATAAATAAAAACAATATAATAAAATAAAAAACAACAGTAGTAATATAGTACAAGGACCTAAACCATTTAGGGCTTTATATGTCATCATTAGCACTTTGAAATCAATGCAGAAATGAACGGGCAGCCAATGCAAGGCCAGAGTGGGGAAAATGTGCTGATATTTTCTTACCCCAGTGAGAAGTATGGCCGCCACATTCTGCACCATTTGAAGCTTCCGCATCAATCTCAAAGGTGGCCCCACGTAGTGTGTTACAGTACTCTATTGTTGAGACCACAAGCGCATGGACCAGAGTGGTGAACGCCCCAACATCAAGATAGGGACGCAGCTGGGCAATCCGCCACAGATCGAAATAGGTGGAGTGGACCACTGACATTACCTGGGTTTCCATGGTGAGCGCTGGATCCAGACGGACCTCACTCTGTGCAGTGAGTCACTGCCCCAAAAGAAAGGGAGTTTGCCAAACCACTAGTTTTGCTTTCCAAAACCTTTAAAGAAATATAATCTCTGTTATCTTGTGTGTTGTTGCATCCCCTCCTTCATTATTGTCAGGTGCATTATTCATATATAATGTTTTTCTTATTTTGTGGTACATGCAGTCAGTATGCAATGCAAGGATTTACTGTTCCTTCCAAGAAGCATTACTCACTGTTGCCTTCATACTAATCTGCTTCTCAGGAGAAAGCTTCATAAAACCTCTGGATCCATGATATTTGTTGCCCAGCCTCCAGCAGGCTTCTGGAAGCCATCTCCTCCTCAGCCTGCCTCCATGCTCAACACTGGGTCCTTTGCCTGTCCTTTGAAATAGCATTTGTTTCTGCAACAGCTCCCATCTTGTATCATATGCAGCTGCTGCTGCTGCTGCTATTGCTACTAATATTATTGTTCTGTTTTTGATTTTTACTTTTGTGGGGATTATCTTGTTTCTCTAGGTTCTGTCTATATCTCAGGACTCAAAGTCTCATTTTTTACCATGATTAGTGCCAGTGCAAAACATTTGCAAAACATTTGCCATGCAGTTGGGATCTATCGCAACCGTGATGCAGTTGGGATCCATCGTGTCTTATATGCATTAGAATCTGTTAATAGCTTAGCGTCGTAGCCACCATGCAGTTCCATTGTGTTTTATATGCATTAGAATCTGTTAATAGCTTAGCATCGTAGCCAAAGGCATAATTCCTCAATTATTGTTACTTCTTAATACAGTAGGACCCCTGTATCCATGGGATCAGTATCCACTGATTTACGTATCCTCAATCTGAAAAGATTAAATTCATATATCCCAGTAAGGGTCCTATAAATAAAATAAAGACAACCTATAAAACAAACAAATAAAATAAAATAAAACCCTAGAAATATATATTTCCAAAGAGGAACTACACTTTGAACAGACTGCTTCACACACAGTTTGCTTCAAAGAGGAAGCTGCCTTCATTGTTCTTCATATATGTTACATAAGGATCCACCTGTATTTCATTTTGTATAATGTCCTAATATTGAAAAATGAAGGATAATACAAAGATACTGCAAATAAATCAATATCAGTTTCAGATAAAATTCCTTTATCCAACACCTGGTTGATAGGCTGCAGCCTATCCACATGATGTGGATGAAGGAGTAGAGGGGATGCTCATCAAATTTAATGATAATATTAGATTGGGAATGATAGGATGGTGTAAGTGGATTATGATGAAGCTAGAGGATAATCAAAATGGCAGAAGGCATGGAAAGAAATTGAGGGAGTTAGGTATGTTTAGCCAGAAAAAAGAGGAGACTGAGAG